TAGTTTCTTTGTTTTCTTGACATCCAGGTTTTTGTTTTGTTTTATTGTTGAGTTCTTTATGTATTTTGGATATTAGCCCTTTATTTTGTGTGTGTAGTTGGTTTTAAAAAACCTATTTTCCTATTCTGTAGGTTGTTTTGTCAAAATGACAGTGTCCTTTGCTGTGGAGAATCTTTTCAGTTTCATGAGATCCCATTTATTAACGGTTGGTCTTAGTGCCTGTGCCAAACGTGTTCTGCTTGGAAAGTTTTTTCCTGTTCCAGTATCAGGTTCAGTGTATCCAGTTTTATGTTGAGGTCTTTGATCTACTTGGACTTGAGTTTTATACAGGGTGATAAATATGGATCTATTTGCATTCTTTACATGCAGTCATCCAGTTTGACCAGCACCATTTGTTGAAGATGCTATCTTTTTTCCAGTGTGTATTTCTGGCTTCTTTATCAAAAATCAGGTCTCCATAGGTGTATGGATTTATGTCTGAGTCTTCAATTCGATTCCATTAATCAATGTGTCTTTTTTGTGTCAATATTATGCTATTTTTATTATTATAGCATTGAGTACAATTTGAAGTCAGGGATGGTGATACCTCTGGGATTGTTTTAGCTATCCTGAGTATTTTGTATTTCCATATAAAGCTGAAAGTTACCCTTTCAAGATCTGTGAAGAATTATGCTGGAAATTTGATGGGGATTGCATTGAATATGTAGATTGCTTTTGGTAGAATGGCCATTTTTACTATGTTAATCCTACCAATCCATGAGCATGGGAGATCTTTCCGTCTTCTGAAGTCTTTTTCAATTCCTTTCTTCAATGTCTTAAAGTTTTTTTATACAAGTTTTTCACTTGCTTGGTTAGAGTTGCCCCAAGATATTTTAAAATTTTTTGAAGCTATTGTGAAGGGTATTGTTTCCCAGATTTTTTTCTTGGTCTGTTATTTTTATATAGGAGGACTACTGATTTTTTTAGTTACTCTTGTATCCATCTACTTTGCTGAAAGTGTTTATCAGTTGTAATAGTTTCTTGGTGGAATTTTTAGGTACACCTACATATACTATCTTTGTCATCTGCAAATAAAGATACTTTTACTTCTTCCCTTCCATTGTGTATCCCGTTGACCTCCTTCAGATCTTTTGTCTAACTAAAACTGCAAGTACTATATTGTACTATATAGGTATGGAAAGAGTAGAAAATCTTACCTCATTCCTGATTTCAATGGAATTGCTTTGAGTTTCTCTTCATTTAAGTTGATGTATGGCTATGGACTTGTTTAAAACTGCCTTCATTGTGTTGAGGTATGTCCCTGTACCCCAATCTCTCCAAGATTTTTATCATGAAGGAGTGTTGAATTTTGTCAAAGGCTTTTTCTTCATCTAATGAGATGATCATGTGTTTTTATCTTTCAGTTTGTTTATATGGAGGATTACATTTATCAGTTTACATATGTTGAACCATCCCTGCATCTCTGGAATGAAATCTACTTGGTCATGGTAGATGATGTTTTTGATACATTTTTGTGTTTGGTTTGCAAATACTTTATTGAGAATTTGTGCATCTATGTTCATAAGGGAAACTGGTTGTAATTCACTTTCTTTGTCTTTATGTTGTTTAAGGTATCATGGTAACTGTGGTCTCAAAAAATATATTGGACAATGTGCCTTCTGTTTCTACTTTATGGAATAATTTGAGGAGTATTTTCATTAATTCTTTGAAGGCCTGCACTAAAACCATCTGTCCCTGGACTTTTTTTGATTGGGAGACTTTTAATGACTGTTTCTATTTCTCTAGAAGTTACAGGTCTGTTTAAATTACTTATCTGATCTTGATTTAACTTAGTTTGTAGTATTTTCCATTTCTTCTTCAATTTGGTTGAGTACAACTTTTTAAAATGGATTCTTAGGATTCTCTGGATTTCCTTGGTGCCCGGTGTTGTGTCACTTTTTCACATTTACTTTGTTGCTTTGCCTCTTCTCTCTCTGCCTTTTAGTTCATTTGGCTAAGGATTTATCCATCTTACTGATTTTTCTCTAAGAGCTAACTTTTGTTTCAATGATTCTTTGTATTGTTTTCAATTGTTTGTTTCTATGTTATTGATTCCAGCCCTGAGTTTGATTGTTTCCTGCCATCTGCTCCTTTTGGATGTGTTTCTTCTTTTGTTTTAGAGATTTCAGGTGTGCTATTAAGTTACTAGTATGAGATCTTTCCATTTTTTGACATTATATTTTATTTAAATTTTTTTCATTTTGCATACCAACCACAGTTCCCCCTCCCTCCCTTTCTCCCATTCCCCTACCACCACCCCCATCTCAGCCCCCATCCACTCCTCATAGGGAGTAAGTCCTCCCTTAGATAGTCAACACTGGTTGGCATACCAAGTTGGGGCAGGACTAAGCCCCTCCCTGACCCTGGATCAAGGCTGAGCAAAGCATCCCACCATAAGGAATGGGCTCTAAAATGGGTTCAGGTACCCAGAATAAGTCCTAGTCCCTCTGCCAGAGGCAAACAGATCAAGCCACACAACTGTCACCCACATTCAGAGGGCCTAGTTCAGTCCCATGGAGGCTCCCCAGCTGTCAGTCCAGAGTCTGTAAGCTACTACCAGCTTGGATCAGCTATCTCTGTGGTTCTCCCCATCATGATCTTGACCCTGCCACCTTTGCTCCTATAATCCCTCCTCCCCCTCTTCAACTGAACTCCAGGAGCTTGGTCAAGTGCTTGGCTATAGTTCTCTCTGAGGTCTCTCCATTTTTTGTTTAGTGTAGGCACTTTGTGTTATGAACTTGCCTCTTAGAACCACCCTCATTGTATCCATAAGTTTGGGTATGTTGTGTTTTCATTTTCATCAAAGAGTAGAAAGTTTTTCATTTCTTTTTCAATTTCTGTCAGTAAATTCTGTCAGAAATTTCTCAGTTTATCATTCAGTAATGCATTATTCAGTTACCATAAATTTGTAAACTTTCTGTTGCTTCTATTATTGTTGATATCCAGCTTAATCCATGGTGGTCAGATAGAATACAGGGTATTATTTCAATTTTTTTTGTACCTGTTGAGACTTGCTTTGTGTCTCAGTATGAGATAAATTTCAGAAAAATTTCTATGAACTGCTGAGAAGAAAGTTATTCTTTTGTGTTTGGGTAAAATGTCCTGTAAATGTCTGTTAGATCCAGCCAGGTGGTGGTGGTGCACACCTTTAATCCCAGCACTTGGGAGGCAAAGCCAGGTGGATCTCTGTGAGTTTGAGGTCAGCCTGGTCTACAGAAAGAGATCCATAACAGGCACCAAAACTACACAGAGAAACCCTATCTCAAAAAACCAAAAATATACATGTGTTAGATCCATTTGGTTTATGGTATCAGTTAGTACCAGCATTTCTCTGTTTAGGTTTTGTCTGAATGACCTGTCTATTTGGCAAGGGTTGGGTATTGGAGTTACCCAACTCTCGGTGCATGAGAATCAATACGTGTTTTATGATGTAGTAGTGTTTCTTTTATGAATTTGGGTATCCTTGTGTCTAGCACATAAATGTTAAGAATTGCAGTGTCCTCTTGGTGGGTTTTTCCTTTGATGAGTATATAGTGTCCTTCCTTATCTCGTCTGATTAGTTTTGGTTTGAAGTCTATTTTGTTGGATATTAGAATGGTTACACTAGTTTGCTTCATAGGTCCAATTACTTGGAATATCTTGTCCCAATCCTTTACCCTGGGGGTAATGTATATCCTCAACGTTGAAGTGTGTTTCTTGTATACAGCAGAAGGAGGGATTCTGTTTTCACGTCCATTCTGTTAGTCTGTGTCTTTTTATTGGGGAATCGAGGCCATTGATATTAAGAGAAACCAATGAACAGTGATTGTTGATTCCTGTCATTTTGTTATACGCTGTACCCCCCCTTTGGTTGTGCTGGTCTGATCAGGATTATTTATTCCTCTGTTTTTCGGCTATGGTTAACCTCCTTAGGTTGGACTCTTCCTTCTAGCCCTTCTGTAGAGCTGGATTTGTAGACAGATAATATTTTAACTTGGTTCTATCATAGAATATCTTATTTTCTCCATCTATGGAGATGAAGAGTTTTGCTGGATATAGTAGTCTGGACTGGCATCCATGATCTCTTATAGCCTGCAGCACATCTATCCAGGCCCTTCTGGCTTTTATAGTCTCCACTGAGACATCAGATGTTATTCTTTATCTATTACTTGATCTTTTTCCCTTGCAGTTTTTAATATTCTTTCTTTGCTCTGTACATTTGGTATCCTGATTATTTATTATGTGCCCTTTCTTCTGACCTAGTCTATTTGATGTTCTGTAATCTTCTTGTACCTTTATAGGCATCTCCTTCTAGGTTGGGAAATTTTTTCTATGATTTTGTTTCTGGGCCTTTGAGGTAGGTTTTTTCTTCCTCAACTCCTATTATTCTTAAGCTTGGTCTTTTCATCATGTCCTAGATTTCCATGTTTTGTATAAGGAGTTTCTTAGATTTAACATTTTCTTTGATTGGCATATACAATTCTTCTATCATTTCTTCAATGCCTGAGATTCTCTCTTCTATCTCTTGTATTCTATTCATTGGGGCTTGCCTCTGAGGTTCCTGTTAGGGTTCCCAAATTTTTCATTTCTAGATTTCTTTCTGCTTGAGTTTTCTTTATTGATTCTATTTCCACTTCCAGGTCTTGAACTGTTTTATTCATTTCCTCCCATTGTTTGTTTTTTCATAGATTTCTTTAATTGATTTATTCGTTTCCTCTTTAAGGACTTCTAACATATTCATAAAGGCTATTTTACAGTCCTTATCTTGTGCTTCGACTGTGTTGAATTTTTCAGGGCTTACTGTAGTAGGGGTGCTGAGTTCTAGTGGAGATATACCGTCCTGGCTGTTGTTGATAGTGATTTTATTCTGGCATCTAGGCACACGGGTTTGGGATGATTGTAATTCTAGGTACCAATATCTGGTCTTATCTTTGTGGGGTGGATTTTTGTTCATTGGTTTCTGCCGCCCTCTTGGTTCTTAGGAGAGTGTGGTGACTGTGTGTTGCCTGGTAAGGAATGCTTTTGGGATTCTGCCAGGTGTGTCCACTAGGGAATCAGGATAGAATGTGTTTCTAGGTATTGGAAGCTAATATTTAGAAATATGGATAGTCTTGGGGGGACATCCACAGGTGGAAGGAAAGTAGGGTGTTCTGCCAGAATCTGCCTAGTCCTTGGAAATAGGGGCAGAAAGTGAAGAGAGACCACAGCAGCTAGTCTGCTACAGAGCTGGGGATGAGACTTGAGGATTGGATTGGAGGAGAAGAGGGAGAGTGAAGATCTGAGGCTCACCTAACTTGCTTTGGTGGCCTACTTATTTCTCTGGCAGCCTTAGCAGACAGGTTTCCAGAGAATGCCTGCTGGAGTTAGGGGCTGGAACCAAAGGATGAGGAGGAGGAAGGCTAGAGGAGAGGACCTGCCGGAGGTGAGGGCAGTGAGGAAGGGGACGAGGCCAAAGCAGGTGGTCTCCTACAGCACTGACATGAAACTGAGGAACTGGATTTAGAAGAGAGGAGGAAGAGGTGAAGATCTACAGGCAGCCTACCAGTTTCCCTGACCTGAGTGGCCAGAGGGTTCAAGGACTGCTAGCTAGAGTCCTCTTTTTTTAAACTACTTTTCTCTGAATTAAAATTCATGTAACATAAAATTATCATTTAAGAATGAGCAGCCATTCACTGGTGAAGGTTGTGCAAGCAGCACCTCTACCAAGTTTGAAGACATTTTCATTGCTCCAAAAATAATCGATCTACTTTTAATATCCATCTCTCAAAATAACAATCTTCTGGGTGGGAAATGTAGCTCTGTTGGTAGAATATTGCCTAGGCAGCTCTATTGATCCCCAACACTAGCACTTGTGTAAACATGGCATGGTGGGACACATGGCTAGTTCTAGCACTTGGAAGGTAGAGGCAGGACAATTACATTCAAAGTCATCCTTAGCTATATAACAAAGTGAGATCATCCTGGGCTACATGAAATCATGTCTTAAAAAAACTAGCAACCTTTCTCTGGTCCTTGTATTCTTCTAAAAGTGTATGTATAGAATTAACCAGCATTTCCTAAGACCAGAAATTTGGTAGATATTTCTGGATATCTGTAAGCCATTAATCTAATTATTTAAATATACTTAATTATCTAATCAATTAAAGTGTATCTGGTGGGGTAAAACACTAGATTACATTCTAGGTTCCCCACAGTTGCTACTAACTAAAACAATGTATTTTTGTGTGCCTAGCTTATGAATGTGACCCTAATGGGACCTTTTCTGGTGACCTTTGTGTGAGCTACTCTGATCCTGCCACAAGGTTTGTGGCCATCCAGTGCCTGTGCAAAGAGAATGTGCAAGGAGCCAACTGTGACCAGTGCCAGCACAATCACTTCAGATTGAGTAGCTCTGGCCTCCTAGGTTACCAGGATAAGTCCCAGGAGGTCAATCAGGATGCAAGTTAAAGTTTAACCTTGCTGTCTCAGCCCTAACATTCCCTCATTATGAATTCAAAAGAGTCCTATCAACTTTGAGTCCAAAAAATAAAAAAATAAAAAATTACAGTATGTCCCACAAACTTTAGGAAGTCAGTGCATAGCTTTTCTCTGAAGCTTCCTGAAGTTATCATAGATGACCAGCAGATGGTGCTCACATTTCCCCCACCTGAGCAAACCAGAGAAATACCAAAAAATTTAATTGCAAATTGTGAAATCCATGGAAACATGACTTCTGTTAATGTAACAGAGTACAATGGAGCCTCCTTTTAGTTCTTACAGGGCAAATAAACACAATTAGATGATAAAAGAATGAAGAAAGTTTTGTTGTCTGTCACAGATATGAAAAATACCACAGTTACTCCAAAAGCAAAGTATGGAATCTGAGGAAGCTGTATATCCTCATATAGGAAAACACTTGGCAAGGGCCATTCCTGAGCAAGATCAGCTTAGAGTATACATTGCTGAGCATGCTCAGTTTAAGCTCCTAATTCAAGTACGGTGGCAGATGCATTCTGGGCATGCTTAGCCCACAGCCATTGAGTACATGTCTGAAAGATTGTTGTGACAGACAGAAACACTTCCAAGTATTCTCAGTTTCTTTTTTTTCAAGAAGGTTTAGCTGAAACAAAAGGAATGAACACTTTGAAGGTGTGTTAGTATAGGAGGCTGCCCATAGAGGCGCCTGCCTTGTCTAGCAGTTAATCCTAGAATTCGGTAAACAAGTTTATTATGTTACTTTATGCAGGATGATAAGATCTTGGGTGATTTTCAAGTGGTGATTCTTTATTTTTATCACATTTATTTACGCGTGTGTGCATATGCATACATGTGTGCACACAGGTGGACATCAGAGGATGACATGCCAGAGTCAATTCTCTCCTTTCATGATGTGGGCCTCAGGGATGAATCTCAAGTCATCAGCCTTGGTGACCATCACCCTTAAGCACTGAGACATCTCAACAAAGTCCTCTTTTTATCTTTTAATTACTTTACCCTTTTCTTCTCAAATCCTTCCTAATACTGATTCAGAGATCTTCTGTCAAGAAAGAAGTGGAACCAAGGGAGAAGAGAAAAGGCAATAGAGCTTCAGTATTTTTCTGGGACCAAACGCACAGATCCTTGGCTTTGGGACAGTAAATCTTTGTGTTCCTCAAGGCCTCACAAAGCTATAGAACCCTTGGGAATTGGGTAAGTGATTTCCTCTGAGTCATAGCATCATGCTCCATCTTTTTGTCCAGTGAATAAGCCTGAGTATCAACATTAGCATGCAACAGGCTAAGTTTTTATGTCATAGATTTTTTTTTGCAGGTTTAAAAAAAGTAAAGATCATGAAAGTTAGGTCCAATGATGCAATCAAGCCGGTTTCCACATACCAGGCTTCTTCCTTATCCACTGACCTAAATGGCGCTCTTACAGAACAAACTGAGCATTGGCATTATTTGGGGGAGAGGGGGTGTTCTTGCATGTGTGTGTGTGCATGTGTGTCTATGAGTGTGCGCATGTGTAAGTGTGTATGTGTATATGTGTGAACATGCATTGTGTGTTGTGTGTAATGGCTTCATTGATATAATTTACATACCGACAAATAGTACAAATCAATGGTTTGGGTTCTATCAAAAGCTGTGTGAACATAAACTCAATTTTAGAATACTTTCTTCACCTCAAATAAAAATCCCACTTCTGGATATGCACCTAAAGGAATTAAAAGGAGAGTTTGGAAGAATGTTTGTACCCCCTGCTCAAGTCAGCACTCTTCAAATAATAGCCAGGGGTTGGAAATAACCCAAGTGCCTACCAACAGATGTGTGGATATGCAAAATATTACAGATCACAACATGGATAAGCCTTAATAATATTATGCTAGATGAAATAAGCCAGACAAAAAAGACCAAAAATATGGGATTGCACTTACATGAGGCACCTAATTAGAGGCACCGTATTCACAGAGACAAAAAGGAAAAAGGACAGAGGCCAAGGGAAAATGAAAAGAGAACTACTGTTTACCAGATGCAGTTTTCAGTTTTGCAAGAAAGAAAGGTTTGATTTGTTGCACAATCGAGTGAATTAGTTTATACACTGTACTATGGTTAAGATGGTAAGTTTTGTTACATGTACAATACCAAAGAGAATAGAAAAAAGGTAAAAAGTCACCATCCTTTTAATTACCACCCCCCATCCTCCCACACTCCAAACCTTAGATAATCACTGATTTCCTTTCTGTCACTATGGATACACTTATTAGAGATACTTCAGATACAAAGAATCACGTGCTCAGTCTTGTTCCTGACTTTGTTGTTGTTGTTGTTGCTATTATTTTCAAGGTTCGACCCACTGTATCATTGCTACTTTTTTACCACAGAAGAATATTCTATTGTGTGACTATAACACATTTAACTTGCCCATTCATTATATGTTGGACATTTTAGTTGTTTCCTTGAACATGAAATTGTCTTGCAGTGAGAGGGTATACCTTGCTTTGTTATGGCTACTTCTCAGCCTTCCCAGCATAAGCATATCTAAGAAATGTCTGTGGGTAGAAGAGAATGAGAAGATGGAGGAAACGATAACAAAGAAATAGAGGGGGATGACAGATGCATCTGCCAGAGAGGGAGCTGTTGGTGATAAGCAGGCACTGGCAAAGGCCTGCCTGAGTCACTGGTCTGGCCCAAGCATAGGAGAGCCAAGCCAGTACTTCAGCTTACAAACTCTCCTATGCTAACTTGGCTCTGCCTGAGTGCCATTGAGTAGAACCACATGGGAATTCTGAAGCATCTTGGCATGAGATTTTCTCTGTGAGGCTGAATGTGGTAATCACAAATCCAGACAAACAGTGGACTATGCAAGGGCAAGCTGCCTCATTCTTGAACTGTGCATTTCACTCAGTGTGAGCTATGAACAACATTTATGAGAGTGGGGATATTAAAACTGACCATAAATGTCTATGTTGTGCTTTCAGTTTACAACCATCACCCCCTTGGGAGGCTGACACTACTACCCACTTGTGACATGAAAACAGGCCAATGTTCTTGCCACACCCATGCCACCAGGCCACGCTTTGAAGAGTGTATTGTGCTTATTTTCCAGTAATTACCTTTTCATGGTGATATGTGGCTCTCTGTGGCCATTGCCTAAAAGAGACTTGGAATTGTGCTCTTGTTCTAGTGTTCAGTGCCCTTGTAGAATGAGTCCTCACACCAGAAACACTGGCAAACTCCAGGCTGAACGACGACCCAGACTAATAGTATCTGCCCCCGAGTGTGACTACCTGAGGTTGATCCCCAGAATCCACATGGTGGAAAAAGAGTCAACTCTGGAAAGTTATCCCCGACCTCTACATATGCACTTTTTGCAAGAAACACAGAACACACACACACACACACACACACACACACACACACACACACACACAAGAAAGAGAAAGAGAAATTGGCAATCACAGAACATCATCCTCCACCCTCCAGCTCCCCTCTTCTCACCTACCCTAAGAACTGGTGGTTTAACTTACCAGCACACCCAGCTGAAGTGTCAGTGAGATTATGTATTGCTGTCTTGAGGATAGCAGGCAGTAGAATAAAAAGCATTTATCCCCCCCAATACACACACACACACACACACACACACATTTTGACTCATAGACTGTGAAACCTTTCTTTTATCTCATGCATATAATTTATACTACCCTCCTACCTCTCTGACTAAAAAATATTCTAGATGATCTCAATGAAAACAGTAACAACATGGACTTGATGTATTTCATATTGCTGTGGGAAATGAACTCTTGAATGTTTATGGACACCACTAACCATATGAACATATATATTCTAAAATTAGTAAAATTAAACATTTTCATTTTATAAGAAATGTATCATGCTTCACATCTGGGGTCCATGTTGCCACCAAAGGCTACACAGATGACCATGGTCTTGGCTGCCACCTGTGGCCATGTTTGTGTCTGAGGGCTGTGCTGCCTCAGAGGCCATCCCAATCTGAGTGGCCTGCATGGTGACATCCAGGCCTGAGTTGCAGCTGAAGGCTATATCTGGGTCCATGGCCCTACTATAGCCAGGGTCTGTGTTGATGTCCATTGCTCCTGCTACCACCAAAGGGGGTCTGACCTGTGATCTGAGGCCATGTTGGTTTCTGAGAGCCATGCTCCTGCTGTGCCTTACTGATCTGAATGGCTGTGCTGCCACCTGGGGCCAGCTGCTGCCAAGGACCATGTCTGGGTCCGTGATCCTACTGCAGCCAAGTCTATGTTGATGTCTGTGGCCCATGTTGCCACCAAAGATCATATGGATGCATGAGGTCTGGGCTACCACCTGTGGTCATGTTTTTGTCCATGGACCATGCCACCACCGGGGCCATGCCAGTCTGAGTAGCCTGTACTCTCATGAAAGGCCATGACAACATCTGGGCCTGAGCTGCTGCTGAGGGCCATGTCTGGGTCTGTGGCCCTACACCAGCCAGGGTTTGATTTGATAACCATGATTCCTGTTACCACTTAGGGCCAGATGGATACCCAGGGTCTGGTCAGCCACCTGAGACCATGTTGGTATCTGAGGGCCATGCTGATGCTGGGGACATACTGATCTTAGTGGCTAGCACTGTCACTGGGGCCATGGTGATATCTGGGCCAGAGCTGCTGCCCAGGGCCATGTCTGGGTCTGTGGTCCTGTTGCAGCTTCAGTCTGTGTTGATCTCCATGGCCCATGTTACCACAGGGAGCCATAGGATACAGGTGTGTTGAAATCCAAGGACTGTGCTTAGCAAGCACCACCCTTCTGTGGACATGGGAGAGTTGATTCTGCCCCTCACTGGCTACTGCAACAGAAGAGCTGGTCCTACACTTGGGAGAGTTGTCTCCACCTCTCATCATTACATGGGGCATGGGAGAGCTGGCTCTGAAGGCCTGAGAATAGAAGAGCTAACTCTGCCCCTCACCTGATGGGGGTGGTCCCAATGGCCCACAAGGACCAAATCAGCTACCATCCAGACCTACATTCAGAGCTTTGAGTTGGCATACTTCAACATCTATGTCCTATGGGAGCATGTGAAGGGACTGGCCCTGTGGAACCATAGCTGCAGGTTCTCCATGACTTGAGACAACAGCAGGATATGGGAGAGGAGATTTGGTGAGGGTCCAGTATTGATGGCATGCCAGAAGCCAAAGGCCTTGAACCTGACCAACAATATATTACACAGTGAACATTTGCAAGTAAAGCTGAGTGAACAAAAAGGTGTAGTGCAAGACACACTGCAGTTCCCAATGCCACTAAGATGAATGAAGAGGTGTTGAGAGGCAAGAAAGACAAAGAAGCCAAGATGCTTTTTTCTGTTTGTTTGCTTTGTTTTGTTTTTAATTAATTTTTTAAATTTTTCTTTTGTGGGGGATGCTACAAGGGTGAGGAGTAGATATACAGTGATTGGGAAATAAGTTGGATTGGAGTACATGATGTGAAATATCCAACAAATCCATAAAAATTTATGCTTAAAAAGAAAGAAATGTATCTTGCAATTGAGAAGTTTAAACTCAACTCTTTGTTCTCAACTCTTGGCAGCTCATCATGACATTTTAGACAAAGAAAAACAAAAAGTTAACCTAATAAAAGAACAGTGACTTTGATGTGTCTAAAGAACTGTAACTGGTAAATAAAAAACATGTGCCTCTGAGGAAATAGCCAGGGTCTAAAATTAAATCACTTTACTGGAAACATATAGGGGGAGGAGATAAGAAAATAAATGTGAAAGACAAACTCAGTCAGGCAAGTCACGTGTTTTAGAAGTTTTACAAAGAAGTGGAAATGTATGTGAAGAAAGTTAAAAATGATATTCCCCATGTGACAGCATCACTGAAGACCCCAAATCAGAGCACTGTAGGAAAACTTCAAACTAAAGATGATGTATTAATGTGATGGTAGACCAGTTGGCTTGTGTGGGACACAGACTCAGTGATGTCATCAGAAGGACAACAACTAAGCAGAGGCCACTCTGGGGAAACTGTCCATCACAGATACCCCTAAGCTCCATGAGATAGCCCTCACCTATATCTAAGTGACAATACCCTGAACCACACTGGATGAGCAACATGAAAATGAAACCTGGCCCACAGGGACTTTCCTTAGCCACATCCGGAGTGAAGCAGTTCATTTCACTATTTTTTTCTTAAGCTAACATTTGGTTTGAGAAAAAATATCAAAAAGCTTCTGTCATGTTTTTCTGAACATTATGTCAATGCCTAATATTTAATATTTAATTATTGCTTGAGTAAAATGAGGCATAAAATTCACTGAGGTAACAAAAATACAGAAGGTTGAGAGCATTCCAAACAAGAGTCTCAGGTCTTAAATCTACATTTTATCTGAGCATGTTATGTTGAGATTTAAGTGTTTTTCTAAGCATACTATCAGAGTTGTTCTTTTCTAACCTCATCAGCTATTTATGTTGTCTAAAGGTCAAGATGTTGCAATGACAAAGTCTTGGGACACAGAGTTGATTCTGTTGACACAGTTCACATTTTACCAGAACTGCGGACTGATACACAATTGTTTCTGCTGGACTGGGGCATCCATAGAACACCACAAATGGTCCATAGAATACCTTAAAATCAGCTCAGTGATCTGCTACCCACCCCACATGTAAGTGTAATGTAAACCCTTAGAGATTGTAGCTGGAGTTTTCTCCAGTCCCACCTGGGTCCAAAGCCACTCAGACCAAAGTAAACACACAGAGACTTATATTACTTATAAACTGTTTAGCCATGGCAGGCTTCTTGCTATCTAGTTCTTATATCTTAAATTAACCCATTTCTATTAATCTATAGATTGATATGTGGCTTATGGCTTGCCAGTACTTCACATCTTACTTCTCATGGTGGCAGTGGCTGGCAGCGTCTCCTGACTCAGCATTCCACTTCCCAGAATTCTCCTCTTTGTTTATCCCACCTATACTATACTTCCTGCCTGGCTACTGGCCAATCAGTGTTTTATTTATCAATCAATCAGAGCAACACATTCACAGCATATAGAAAGACATCCCCAGCACTACTGTTTTGTTATATGTAATTTTACTATGTTAAAGTTAAAAACCTTCCTTTTGAAAAAAGAAAAGGGGAAGTGCTGGGGATATCTTTCTGTATGCTATGAATGTATTGCTCTGATTGTTTGATAAATAAAATGCTGATTGGCAAGAAGAATAGTATAGGAGGGATAAGCAGAAAGGAGAATTCTGGGAACAGGAAGGGTGAGTCAGGAGTCGCCAGCCAGACACAAAGGAAGCAAGATGTGAAGGCAGAACTGAGAAAAGGTATCAAGCCACGTGGCTAAACATAAATAAGAATTATGGGTTAGTTTAAATGTAAGAGCTAGTCAGTGGTATGCCTGAGCTAATGGCCAAGCAGTTTTAATTAATATAAACCTCTGTGTGTTTACTTGGGTCCAAGTGGCTACTGGACTCGTGGGTGAGAGAGATTTGTCCTGACCATGGGCCAGGTGGGACACAGGAAAACTTCAGCTATAAGAGATCATTATGGTAGTAAATACATAGGTTTTATTTTAAAAGTTGCAGGTAAATGGTATTAGAACTTCTCACAGAGATCCTAAAGGACCTAGCTTGAGTGAAGTCTGATGCTATGAGAGGAAATAATTTAATTTAATTCCCTTCATCCTCATTACTCAAATGCTGAAAATGGAAGAGATGTGTCCATGGAGACCTTTCTTTCCCAAGTCTGAGGACAAGGAAGTCTACTGTGAGGCCTTCTAGGGTGGTGGGCTATTTGATATGTGATGATGGCATTGTTGTGATTTTGATAGTATACCTTGGGGTGGTGCAGATCTTCACATCCAGATTCAGCTGAGCTTCTTTATCTAGGTTGAATACTTAAGCCTAGGGCATCACCTCCATGGATGTTCTCCCTGTGACTGATGGTGCTTATTTTAGTTATTAGCACATTCTTCTCTGATCTGCTCATTTTCAGATTTTATTCTATGATAGGAAAGGATGTTGAAAAACAATGACCTTGAGATAGTCACAATAGCCTAATTGATTTCTTTTGCCCCAGATGTTTCCAAGAATGAGATAAACAGTCCTGCCTGTGTGGCGCCCCCCAGTCTGGTCTTATGGATTCCTGAAAATCTGTGTGCTGTAGTCAAGAGATATCCTACTATCTCCTTTCCCTGGTTTTTAGAGTATTGGAGGGGAGAAGAGGCTAGGTTACTTGGATGTGAATTCACTTTTCAGGACAAGTCGTATTAGGCCTGTGGCCTACCAGTATCCTCACAGGACAAACTCTGGAGCATCCAGTCCAGCACCCCCCAATGCCTCCACTTCATCCTCAGTTCCTCCACATGCCCTCACATTAGATTCTCTCCTTTAGGTGCTTGCCTAAGGACGGGTAGTGTGAATGCAACCCACAATATCAAAGGTCATACCTGCATAGATAGAATCAGCCCCCAGTTTCTTCTTTGTCCCTTTGAATTTCTATCTCTATGAAGCAGAGGAAGCTATGCCCATCTAAGGACTCGCACCTTTGGTTTATATTTCCTGTCTTCTCCCCACAGACTTTATTTGATGGCATGTCAGTAAACACATATAGCCTAGAGCTCATGACTGAGGCACCTAGGACAGAATGCCTTTGTCTGTGGATTCAGATCAGAGCCATGCTTGTTTTATCATGCAACCACAGGTTATATACTTTTTGAGGTCTGAGCCTGTGTTTTATCTTTGTAACCAACTGTACCACAGCACTTGTCAAATAGAAGCAAATAAGAACTAATTGAGGCAAAAAAAAAAAAGCTACTTTTGCTCTTTCAATCACATACAATGAGTTTGTTGGATGTCTGAATCTCTGTCTCCACCATGATGGTACAAAGTACAAGGCAGTGTCTATTGCATTTACCAAGCTTGCGTTAGTGCATAGCATGGGGCCAGACACATAGTAGGGAGCTTATGGATTTCTGATAATAGATGAATAAAATATGTAAGATTCTCAACAGCATGACTCCCAACTAGGGAAAGAAAAATGTGACTCAGGGTGAAAGTCTTAAAGGAGAGTAAACACTTGAAAGCCAATTCTGAAGGTGGTATTTAGATAAACAAAGCAGGTCCCATTGTCCCACAATCTCTTGGAATGTGTCCTTTATCTAGTCAGTCACTGGGAAAACATGACGGAATTCCTCAGGAGGCTTCAGACTTGCTATTTTGATGACTAGAATTGAGGCAAGAGTAAAAGGCTTTCACTGTCCCTGGCACAAAATTAGGTGTTCAGGGTCCACATAAAACAACTACGTCTGCTTTCTTCAGAGTCTTTAATATTGCCTATTTATGATGGTGACTTGTAGCTTTTTAGAAAGGGGTGTTGCTATTTATGTTTAGGCAATAACTATAAAGAAAATAGTTCCCATATTTTAGATGAGAAAACACAAAACAGATATAACATAAAACACATGCACAAGTTAGCTACTTAACAATACTTTAGCATTTGCCATGTGATGGCTGCTGCAAATGATGAAATGAATTAATATCATGACTACTATGGATATCAAGCAGGGGTTGTGAGTAGAAGGCCAAAAGAATGCTGGTAATGATGGTTAGGGAATGCTATCGCTCAGAGAAAACTCAGGGTGAGATTAACATCAAGTATGTAAAGCACAACAGTGTGAACATTTCCTTCCTATACTGAGGGCAAGATCTTTAATTGCAATAGGCAAAAAATAAATTGGGTACCACTCAATTATTTGTTCATTCACTCAGCACATCTTTATGGTGTGTTTACTGCAGTTGATGTACTAGTAAAACTTCAATTTATTCAAAGTTCTATGCTTCCGTATATTATGACATTTAATAGACAACCTAAGTGTAATCATGCAGATGAAGAAAACATTCAAGAGGTAAGAACTATGGCCAAAGTCAGATAGACAGCAGGGCCTGTACAGACATCCAGGCACATCTGGCACCAGTGCTCTGGCTCTTAAGTCATAAAGATGCTTCCCAACATTGTGCATAGTGGGGAACCCCAGGACAGTATAGAAGGAGATTAGTTAGGGTCCTGGCCCCAAGAGTTCTTTTCTAGCTAGTACCTTAATATAGCTAGTTCAAGTTGGAGCGAGATGAGAGTGGGACCACAAAACAAGGCAGACAATATATGTATTAGGACTTCTGAGCCATATGGATCTGTTTTTATGAATGGACTACAAACCTAAGTAATATAATTGGGCCAGAGACTTGAAAACCAGGAGGTTCAACTGTGGAATAAAAGAGACAATAGATGTTCCATTTTCCTTCTATTGCAGTTTCCTGCCATGCCTCAAGGCTAGAGTTTAGTCTTTGGGCAGTGAGTCCATTGAAATTTTCTAAGCAGGAAAATGATGTCTTGAAGATGATCTTTGAGAAGGCCAGGCAAATATCATGACAGGCTCCAAATAACTCAGTTAAGAACTAGGCCTCAGGTCCTTCTTCTTGAAACTGAGCAGGCCATTTCTGAGGAAGCTATGAACAAAGGACAATCAATCTTTAACAGCCCTGACAGCAGCTCAAGGTAATAACCAAATAAGGACAAAGCTTGGGACTTGTCCAGGCCTGCCAAAAAATGGAAAAGCTATAGCCTCAGCCAGTCCTTGCTAGCCCTAGCCAATCAGGAATATACTAACATAACTGCCACTCGCTTAAACTAGTCATAGATAAAAATGACCTAATTGCCCTAGGAACTCCCCTTAGCTGTGCTAAAAAGAGCCTGTGAGCCTCTCTCAGGATAGTCGCCATTTTGTATGTGTGTTGATATTTTATTTGTGCACCTCAATAAAGCTTATCTGAGGATCAGAGGAAAAAGCCAGCCACTATATTAAACATAGAGGTAGGCAGTCCAGATGCAGAGATTCATCTGGATCTCTGTGAGTTCAAGGCCACACTGGGAAAAGAGCTAGGCATGGTGGCACATGCCTTAAATTCTCAGCACTAGTTAACCATAGAGGTCTGGAGGGTTGTACAGACAGACAGGAAGTGAGAGAGCTAGGCAGAAAGATGATGTGATGTAGCTGGGCAGAGAGAGGAAGTGAGATGTCAGGGCACAGAAAGGATATAGGCTTAATTATACAGGAAGCAGCTCTCTCTGGAAGCTGAGGAGTTGGTAAGGTGAGATTGGCTGTGACTTGTCCTATTCCCCTGATCTCTCAGTTTTCACCCTAATATCTGGCTCTGGGTTTTTTATTAATAAGACCATTTAGCAATTCATCTTACATGTATGTACAGGTGAACAACTCCATATGCATGCATAAACACTCTTGTTGAATTGCATACATGGATGGTGGTCTTTTGTGGAACTTCTACAGGACCATAACAGTCTTCAGTGTTCCTCCAAACACTCTTATCAGAAGAGAGGAGTCTGCAGTTGTGTAGATGTGAATTAGAGTCTTAAGTTCAGAGATAGCAGAAAACAACCAGAGAGAGAATTCCAAATGGACATAAACCAAAGACAAAAGCTTGGGAGTTCTTTTGATATTCTAACCCAAGAATTACAAGTAGCTTTCCTGGTATCTCTTTAAAAGACTGTATGTATACATACGTGCATATATATGCACTTGTGGCTCAGAATGCACAATGTAGTGTGTAGACTCACAATATGGGCATCAGAGAGCTCATTAGAAGTTCAGTCCTGGGCTGGAGAGATGGCTCAGCAGTTAAGAGTACTGCTGCTCTTCCAAAGGACCTGAGTTCAATTCCCAGCAACTACATGGTGGCTCACAACCATCTATAATGAGATCTGGTGCCCTCTTCTGGCCTGCAGGCATACATACAGGCAGAACATTGTATACATAATAAATAAATAAGTCTTAAAAAAAAAAGAAGAAGTTCAGTCCCATCTGAAATAACTGTGTCAGGTCTGCATTTTAACAATGTCTGCAAGAGATGCCTGTGCATTATAAGGAGGTTCCACTTTATTTTCTTTTGGAAATGACTTGAAAGAGAAGAATGGGGAATGAGCCACCAACCTCCATGTGGAGGAAACACAGTCTAAAGTTACAGAAAGCTAATTATTGCTTACATTTGATAAAATACAAAATTTAATATAGTATAGAGCTAATGTTAATTCCATAATGTAGGTTTCTCTGTATAATACTAGTAAAATGGTCAATTTCATGCTACAAGATGAACATAATTGATGAAGAAAAAAAGGTAAATAGACAAATCATGTGTGACTTGTCCTAAGGGCCCTGCATCACAAAGGTCAGGAGCTGGATGGAGAACATGGTTGAGGGTCACAACAGTGATACTCTGGAATAAACAGGGTCCCAGAAGCAAATCACAGCTGACTTCAGGGCCACAAGATCCTGATGAATAACCATGATACCTGTGAAACAAAATCCTTGTAAAAATCAACAATGAGACATCAATCAAGTGAACACTGAATCCAGGATGTAACAAAATTTTGGAAACATAGGGCAATCAGAAAATTTAACTAAGTTGGTAGAATGGTATAAAAATAACCGTGGAATCTGGAGTTTGAAGGAAATTGAAGTTACATAGACATCGTTCCTTGGGCGCAGTTTGACTGGTTTGAAAAGAAAAAAAAAAAGACTACCTGCTGCAGCCCCACCACAGCCTGGGTTCAGTTTCTGAGACGGGAAGGGGCGTAGGTGCAAGGAAATGAATTGTCCAAGCACCAGATGAGTTTCACACAAGTGGCCAGCCCCAAATAGCTTCAGCCATCTTCATTTATACATCAAAACAAGCATGTTTTTCCATACTAACAAACAAGTTTTTCCCATCCTTCAACATTAACCTCCAGCAAAAACAAATATGTCAAATATGTTTTTTACCAACTTTTACATCAAAACATCTTTAAACAAAAAACAGCACTTAGCCGGGCGGTGGTGGCGCACGCCTTTAATCCCAGCACTCGGGAGGCAGAGCCAGGTGGATCTCTGTGAGTTCGAGGCCAGCCTGGTCTCCAAAGCGAGTTCCAGGAAAGGCACAAAGCTACACAGAGAAACCCTGTCTCGAAAAACCAAAAAAAAAAAAAAAAACCAGCACTTATCATTTTCTTATCCTGGTGAAATATCAAGCCAGGTGCATTCTTTCTTTACAAAACTAATAGATGATTGACATAGGCATACATTTTCAAGAATATCAATCTCATTCAAAACATATTTATAGAAATAGGGGTGATCTGCCTCTAATCCTGTCAGCACTGAATCAGAACGGCTCCTGGGGTCTGGAGTGACAGCTGGCATCCTCAGACAAGAAACCTGAGAAGCATCAACTCCCAAAGAAATTTAGGGGAAAATAGTCAAGAAAAACTGAGATTTCCATGAATGATCACATTTGTCCCATGCATAATTGACAAAATGATACCAAAACCACAAAGAGAATGATCAATATTATGAAAAAGAAGAAAATATGCAGGTCACATGGTCCCAGTAGTATTCTGCACTGTCCCGAATTCTGCTGTTCCTTGCTGAATGAAACTCTCTGCATGGGTTTTTGCCTCATCTAGAGATCCATTGTACAAGCACTCATGTACTGGTCCAAAATTCGGCCACACAGCTCT